CGGATGGTCTGCAGGGCCAGGGTAGCGGCAACAGCCAGCTCTTGTCCCAACGATTTGTTCCTGGACCCCTGCACGTAGACTCTTTCATCCTCTCTAGTGGCCCAAAAACCCAACCCCTAAACTTAGCTTTTAAGCACCCGCGCTCCAGAATTACGTTGGCGCGAGTTGTTCGCGAAGACGCAAGGTTTGGTGCCCGGCAGGGGTTCAGGGTGGATCGTCAAACCCGCCTCTCGGAACAAGCCACAAAACTCAACCGCCAAAGCACCTGATTATTCGGTTCGCGCACTTGTACGACTTCGAGTCAGTATGGGGCCTGTGTGTGACCGCCGAGCGACCGGGGCCCCCAAGCTATTATGTTCTCAGCACGAAGGACTGTTGCAGGTGGTTGGCTACAGGGAAAAGGGACCGTACGGCAGAACTAAATATGATCAGGCTTCGCAATCACGAGGAGGGGCTCTCAGGACACGACCAGACTTGCAAAACCTGTGCTCCCAAGCCTTTCGTGTTGCTCATCCTCCCCCACATGCCCGAGAAGTACAGTCAAGATTCCCTGCTTGAAGTTCTGGTACTCTTCTGGGAAAAGTACCTCGGCCAGGAAACGATGTTGTGGTGCAAATATGGGAAAGCGCTAGAAAGATCTAGAAAGTAGGCTACTGGCGATTGTTAAACCGCAGAATGCGGGACAATGTGCCGGCCGTGGAAGGGGCTTCGACACGTCGCCGTGCAAGGCTTCGTCGATGGTGCGAAGCTCCAAAGTGCCTGGTGCAAGTTTCCATGGATCAACCGATCTTGAGCTTCAGGCCCTGAAGTTGCACTGCTATGGGAGCATGCGGTCCCGTGGGCAGCGTGCAGAGCTGAAAGTGCCTTCCTGCTCTGGGATGCTACGGTAAGGCTTTCAGCACAGCGAGACGAGACCCAGTTGTGTGGTTCGAGAATTCGGGCAAGTACATAGTCTGATTCTAAGACCCTACTGCATGTGTTAAGAATATTCAAGAATAAACCGTCAGACTAGAAGGCTTTAGTGAAACATCATGACACTGATTGAATACTGCTTCGTTTCGAGATGGTCTCATTATAATTTCGCCATTACTTCTACAATAGCCTCAATGAGTCTCAGGGCCATCCAGCTCGAGGCTTAAAGGTCAGGCCTTCTGTCTTCCGGGATCTGGATCAAGGAATTGCATAAGTAGCGTTTGAAACGTCACCTTGTGTGAACCCTGACGGAACCCTGAAGACTTGAGTGGTCAAGGGTCCAGAGCCAATAGGATTTAGTTGTGTCATTGGCAGCGCGTGGCAGCTGGACTTCGAGTCGTGGCTGCAGACCACCGAAACTGAAACGGAACCTAAATATGCCAGCAAAGTTTGACCATAGGGCATAGGGGGGGGCCATTGGATCGGACCCGGCGGGTAACCCGACATCTGCCACCGAAGGGCGTCCCCAGACGTCCTCCGAGGCATGGTAGGACCTTGCAGCGTTCGACACTCCGAAACTTTGAGGTATCAAAAGCTTCGGGCCTGAGAGAGATTTCATGCCAACGCAGCCTGGTAACAAATGGACCGGAAAAGGTCGCAACACATCTCGACCCATGCTCTTTTCAGCACACATCTTGCAGCCAGAAGAGACCAGTCCCGGTCCACCCCACACACAACACCCTCGTCTGAACTGAGAACCCGGCTTTCGAACCCAATGCCGAGACCAAGTTCGAAGCCAGATCCCGAGATGGCCAAATGGCGAACGCAACATGCAGAACCTTTAACAAAGTGTTCGCAAATCTTCGGACCTTTGGTTAACTAGAAATGTACGGGTCGGGCCGCACGGGCTGTAAGCAACCCTTTCAGTGGCTGAACGCTCGCCCAGCGGCGGGCTGGCTTCCACGAAGGGTACGCCTCCCCGCACAACACGCTCCTGATCTCAACATTGACTTCAGTCTCTCGCGAGCTGCTCTGAAAAATAACTTGCGAAGCAAGGCCTCAACTCAACATAAAGTGTGGCACGCGAGGGAGAAGAGCCCTTAACGCGACGATCTCCCATCTGCTATTGATGTGCAAACGAACAAACAAGTCCAGCAACCACACCCCACCGCGACAGCCTCAAATCTTAAAGCTTGCGGCACTGGAAGCTCGAAAACTTGAACTCCGGAACTACCAGCGATGGGCAGAATCTGCCTGCACCGGCAAGGAAAGCCCGATTTCTCGCATCTTCTCCTGAGTTGGTGCGTGCGTTTTTGTTGCTGAAGGTTTTGTCTACTGTGTTGTAAACTGGGCTTCTTGGTTTTAGGGCTAGAGCTCTTGTCAGGCAAGCTCGGTTGGAGGCTTTAGGGGATCACAGGCTTTAAAGGGTGGCATCATCTAGGGTCTTTAGAAGTTGCGCTTAAGAACGCCGGGCATGTGATGCGAACGGCTGAATGATATCGCTCTTTGTTCCTCAGTTCCAGCACGTTGGACAATGAAGACAATGACCATGATGGCAAGCATTTCAATTTCTGAATTACGCATAACAGCTATCCAGACCACAACCGAGGAAACAACCAAGGGGTGTGGATGATCACGGTAAGGGGGCTGGGAAACCAACACAGGAACCCGACCCTCAAGTCGAAGCACGCTTCACTCGGGCTTCTTTTCATGCTTGAGCCAAACAGTACATTGGCGTTGTTACGTTCAGCATAGCCTGACATATCTACATGCCGGGAACACGAGTTTTACTAACTATAACACGGCATAACTTACCCTGAAACACCGCCAGTCCCTCGAACAGCCGGGCCAAACCTTTTCCTGATCCCTAAGGCGCGAGGAACTCACAGGGGTCTGCTACGATAGAAGCAAGACTGGTTGCACAAAATCGCTAATGCATTCGTGTAGTAGCACTGGCAACTTCATCTGTAGATTATGCTTGCTGCATCCCTGCCTGGGCTCTTTCTTCCCATTGCTTCAGTGATCCAGGCGGGGCGGGAACAAATGTCAGGCAAACCCTCAAGTCTGTTTGCTGGACTGCCCTTGCCACCACAATATAAAATGACCCTATAATGCCTAAATCACCAAGCAGGTTATGGATAAAGGTTGCTGCGATTCAGGATCTGGGAAGTCCTCTCTTCATCAGGTAGATCAACACAGCTAGCCTGGCCAAGGCAATACGGCTTTGACGCTTAACTTAGTACACTTCTCCGGTTGTGTGTGCCATCCTTGCGCAGAATATCAATCTCCTTAGTACAAGACCGACAAGACCCCTGTTACAAGACCCTGCAAAGGAACCTCGTTTCTGACGCCTTCCCCCCCCCCCCCCCCCCCCATCTCGATCCGACTCCCTATGGCCGAGTGTCTGCCCACTGTGCCGTCACCTCGCTGGAAAGCTGCTTCTGAAGCATTTGGCCTCGGCACAAGAAATGACAGCGATTTGGGGTTCAAGCCTTGGGATTTTGGTCCGGACTTCATGCTAAGCCCTGAATCCACGGTCTTTGGTCGACTGCTTTGGCATGTCCAGAATTGGAGCTCCCACATCTTAGGGTCGCGGCTTGCCCGTTCGGCTTGCGACAGCTTCAGGCAGCCACAAAAGAGCGTGTTCGGTGTACCATTGAAGGCTTCGCGCGAAGCCAACTCCGGGGAAGAGCGCAGCACAAAGGAATCCGCTGCTTCTGCTTTGCCCTTTTAGCGAAGAAACGTTGCTCGGTCTGCTTAGTGCCAAAATCCTGCCGAGCCGCCGTCCTCTGATTTTTTCTGCCTGGACGGCGCAGGGAGTCGCCAAGAGTGAGCTAAGAGTGAGTTATCTCTATCCTGCAACCCACTCTGAACATATCCCAGCATGTGCTGATTGCGACCACCACAGCTGCAGTTGGAGAGGAAACGAAATCTGCTTGTCTGAACGGCTCCGTCCCTCAAGCTCTAGCCGACTCTGGCTGCGTGCCCATGATTCACTTTGCGGCTTCCGGTCCTTTACATATGATGGCCCGAGGTGCTGCACTTCGAAGGCTATTGCCGGATCCAGCGCAGTGTTGTACTTGGGATCGAGGCAATACCTTGGACCGGTGCTTCCCGTGCAGATTGTGATGGAGGATTCCGAGCATTGGTCGCTTTTTCGTTCATTCTGGATTGCAGCTGTGACAAGGGATTCTTGTGTGATGGACCGCATGTTGGAATATGTGCCGGGCAACCTCTCGCCTCCCGAGGAGCCATCCTAGACTAATCTTTTTCCACACATATGCCGCAAGCCGCACATCCCTCTCGCGTTACTTTCTTTAGCACCCACACTCGACGGACAGGCGAGGGTTCTGGAAGGGACCCAGTTCTTCTCGTGTGGCTCTAGACCCAAGGCTTAAGGGCCCAAGTCTGCAAAGCACGAACTGAAGCCTTCGTACTCCACGGGTTCCAAGCCCGATCACCCAAAAGCAACTCCAGCTGGAGACTCCAGCTCATCCTAAACACAACACTATCTACCTGCATGGAGACCCTGGCCCTAGCCACAAACCGTTGAAGCAACTTGGCGTTTGGCCGGGTGGCATCAACCGCGGAACTCGCCAGTCGACTTGGTCCTTGGCAAATGTAAGTAGCACTGGATTCCTGGTATAGGTTACGGCCCGTGTGCAACGTGTATAACATCCTGTTCTCAATGGAAAATTCAGTATCGTATAACTGTATACCCCATTATAGAGGTAGCCCATCGCAGTTGGCACTCAGGGGAAGATCGGGGGGTACTTGTCGCCCGGAACTTTTCACTTGGGTCTAGAGGCTCTGGCTGTGCTTGGGCTCGCGCTCTCTCTCTCTCTCTCTATGTCTCTCTCTCTCTCTCTCGACTGTTCAGTGGGCGTCGAGCGGTTGTCCTTTGCGACTCTTCTGCCTTGCAGCTGTTCGGAGACTCTCTCACCCTCGGACGGTGGCGCGTGTGACTCAAGGCTGAGGTCGCTGCCAGGTTGTGTGCCGCTGCTTTCGACATGGGCTGGTCGTACCTCGCTTTCGGTCACCAGCTTGTTCTGGGATTGCCCCCAAGCCCCCGCAATCGCAGAAACGTTTATCCGGAAATCCCATGTGCAGGCCGAAAGAGCTCTGATGCGTTCAACCCCACTCTAGTTCGTTTTATTCATCCCTGGTTCTAGAAGACCTGATGTCCTCAGGACTGAACCTCTGCTGTAAGCTTCAAGTCCGATCAACGCCTCGACTGCTGGAATGCCAGCCCAAAACACAGAGTGCCAGGAACCCGGCTGAAAACCACTGGGACACTACCGTCAAAATGCTTCCCGCATGTACTGTCGAGATTCACGGGCACGATTGGCCCGCTGCGCTGCTACATTGACCAATTCTCGTTACACTTGATGTACGAGTAAGAACCTCACAAAGGACTACACACTGTTTGGGGAATCACAAGCCCGACAACCTACAACCGCACTGAATCCTTGGGAGCCGTAGCCACTTCCTATCGGGGCACCTGGAGACAGTCACCTGTGTTCCCACGGCCGGCGATTGGGAGTTCGTCACCTGATCGAGACCTCAGGCCGCATCCAAATCCACGGGCTGTTTTGGGATTCAAGGCTGTACCTTTGGAACCAAGTCCCTAACCTTTTTAAGCAGACCGCTCGAGTCGTAGAGAATCCCAGGACAAAGCCCCTTGCAAAAGGCTTGTTCCCTAGCCGATGAGTATTCGATGGATAGCTCACACGACACAAAACGTATTCAAACAACCACATGCAAACACGCGCACGCACGCACACGCACACGCACACACGCACACACGCACACACGCACACACGCACACACGCACACACGCACACACGCACACACACACGCACACACACGTACACACACGCACACACACGCACACACACGCACACACACGCACACATACGCACACACACGCACACACACCCCTGAGCATCCCATATTGATT